GCCCAAATGCCCTTGGGAGTGCCATATCACCATACCCTTGTCAATACCATCCTGTCAAGAGGAGGCAGGGACAGCTATAAACACTGAGTAGAATGCAAACCTCTGGGCAGCAGGCTAATCAATTTAAAAGTCAAAATCAAATTATGTCCCTGTATTAATTTCTACTAGGCTTTCATACACATACATTTCTCGTAACTTCAAATGTTAATAGCTCAATACTTTTTATAAAAGGTTATAATCTAAAAATCTTAATTTAATTTCTCAAATGATATTTTACAATGAAATTTGCAAATAGGATATAAAAATTAACCTAACATAAATGAAAAGTAGTAACAGTGGATTTCAGGTTTGAGCATTTCAAAAAACTTAGGCAATAAAATAAATACAAAAAAGCAAAAATTAGTTACCTCCAAAGTATTCTTATAGTAAAATACAAAATAATTCCCATGCATGAATTCTAAAATAAGGTTAACTTTACAGCTAATCAATCCAATTTACCCTGCCCTCATATTTTACTTATTTGTAAATACTTTTCCATGACTATCTAAACACTAATTGGTTAAATATGCTGCCTACATTAATTCCTGCTAAAATTAAAGAAACTAAAGGTTCACCTTTGTTTTTCAGAAGTGACTGATATACTTTCAAAGTATTCAGTGTTTCAGAAAAAGTGTTTATCAGGTTCTCAAGATATTTAAAAATGGCTCAAGGGATGATTTATAGCCCTTTTATCTTGATCATATTCACTACCTTGGATTTTGTTGAACAGATTCAGTTTTCTCCTTCTGAAACTCTTTCTTTACTCAAATAATTAAGGAATCTAAGATGTTATCAATATAAAGAGAAAAATTAGTATTTATTTCTTATACACTTGTAAACACACCAAAAAGAATATGTATTCCAAGAAATGTAAGTAAATTTCTTCTGTAAAACTTTTTTTTCCTTGGGGGTGTGTGTAACTGATAAATTTTTACATATCTTAATTTTCCAAAGAACAGAATTCTAAAGAAAAAAATATTAAAACATTCTTAGATTAAATTATCATTTTGACTACACAGCTCAAGAGGCAAATGATTACTGAAACAAAACTTCAAAGATAGCTATAGATATATGTTTTAGTTATCTGGCTTTTCAAATCTCACTTAAGACAGGAGCATTACATTTAATTTAGGAAACAACAAATTTAATCCTTAGAAAGGAAAATTTGAAGAATACCAAACCATAATGTACATAGTGACAACCAGGATTACATTAAAAATGAAGGAATAACCCCCACCTGTGCATGATATTAAAACCCAAATAATACCCCTCAAATTTTAAAACCACATTGATAAAAGCAAATTCACTAATTTATTTAGCTGTAAATGTCTATTTACTATTTACTAAAATATTTTGGTAATAATACACAGATATAGAATGTGTCAATATTAGCCCACACTTATAAATCTTCCACAGCATCTGACTTCTTTATAGAATTTCAAGTAGCAAAATCAGACATATAACTTTTAAATAAGGCTATCAATCTCTGAGGTTTCTCTGATTCCAACTGAAATAAAGATTTTGAGTACACAATATCATCACATTATTTCGGTATATTTGTATAATGTAATAGCAGCCTCAGAAAAAGATGTTCAACAAGTTCTATTTCTAAGGCATCAAAAAAGCTCAGTATAATCAATTTAAATTAAATATTGTGCTGTGCCCCATCTACATAAGACTCTCTAAGGGATTACAGATTTTGGATTTGTACACTCTTGAGTGCATTTTCTAAATTAGACAAAGTAGCTAGTTGCATAAAACACAAACATGAAGAAAGTTTTACACCACCCTGTATGAAAGGAAGAAAAAAAATCACAATACCATCACTTTTGTTTAGATTGACAATAAAACAATCATTAAACTTAAAGTGTCTCACAACCTGAATAACATGATGATCTAATATAACTTGAATTCCTTCAGTTTTTAAATAGAGATTGAATTTATTGATATTAGTATCTGGTTTGTCAAAGTGGCAATTATTCAAGATCTAAGTCTCATTTACTTTAAATGCACAGCATAATTCTGACTACTTATAGTCAATGTAAGTGTCTTGAGCCAAAATACAATGAAAACGTAAGATAAACTGAAAAGGCTTTGTAAGTATTAATGGCAATCCAAAACCTCTGGACAGAAGATCACCAGGCAGGGGGGAGTTTCCCTTCTCTATTGATAGCTTAATCCCTTTCCAATCAATTTTGATTTAACTGTGGGTGATGGGATTAATTTTTTAATGAGTTCTTAGAAAGCTGTAACTGCTTCCAAAATCAGAAACCACAAGATGATGTACTCAAACACATTACCAATGTGATGTTGTTATGGAGGTGTTTACAGAAAGTTGGAATAATTCAGTTGTAAACACAAGTTAACATACAATAGATTACAAAAATAATAACTTGTTTATATAGTATGGCAAGAAAAAACATTCTATATAAAAAGCCTAAATATTCAGCTCTAATTTTAATCCATGTCTATAAATCATAAAAACAGGAGGAAATAGGGATTTATTTGAGAAACTCCATATACCTGTAGAAAATGGAACACAAGTAATTTCTACTGAAGATTAACCTTAATTCCCATTATAGTACAGCTAACAATTTACATAATTTGAATTTTGGAAATATGGTGGAAATCTAAAACATAAGAGCCGATGGTAGTTTATGGTCAGTAAACATTTTTTGTTAAATAACACAAATAAATCCAATTCAGAAGATGAAAACTCATAGGTATCAGGATTTAAAAAATCTTTTCACTTCAAAGGCGCAAAGTTACACCCCATGTACAGGATGGGCTTTAAAAATGGGTATGTAAACTTTTCCATGGTGTTGGTGTGTGCGCTTTTCCCCTAAAGAAATGCCTACTGCTTACAGTTTTAAAGAATCTTCACCACTCTGTAATTTTCAACCAGAAGTCCTCAATGTACCTTAAGCCAAATTGAATATCAGGTATTTTACAGCTTTCACAAAATGGCTGTAAAATCACATTATGGGCATACACAGCTCTTTGATCTCACTGCACAGAATTCATAACTGTTCAATAATGCTATACCATTACACCACACACCTTAAACTATTTCCATTTTTCCACAATTCCTTCCAAAATCAGCTTCCAAAGCAAAGCAATGTAACATGAAAAGTTCCTGGGAAGGCTTGTTACACAAAAGAACAGCTTGGATACAAACTACACACATATCCATCTTCGGTTGAGGCTGTTTATCCCTCCTGCCCCTCCATCACTCTTATGGGTGGGTGCACTGGAGTAACAGAAAGTGAAGGCTCTTCCATCACCACACCCACCCAGCACCTCTGCTTTTGGTCCTCAGACAGTGATTCTGTGTAAGTGATGAAAACCATAAGAAAAGAGAAGCTATCCCTTTAAAATGCCCTGCTCTGTCCCATATCCCACGTGGAACCAACATCAGCAGCACTTTCCCATTAACATCAATGTGATGCAAGAGACATCATCCTTTTATATATATAAAACCAGAAAACCTCAGCTTAACATTCTTTAGGAAGGACAAACAGGTGAAGCAAACGTGTCAGGAAGGGGGAAACCAAGCAACTCCACACCCCTCCCCAAAAGGTACTCCAGCTTTGCACTCCAGCCTCTCTGAGCACCATCACCTCTCTACCCCTCCTCTGCAGAGCCCAGTTTAAAGAAAGGAGGGAGCCACTAACAAAACCTGAAGCATAAATGCGACGAAAATGTAATCTAAAGCCGGAAAGGTTTCTTCTTCCAATCACACATATTAACTCTATTAAGAAAATGGCATCACTTTTTTTCCACCCAAAAAAACCCCGCAAAGATCATTAAAAGAGAGTTATAAAATAGCAAATATAGTGTTTATCTTATCTCAGATCAGTCCACATTACCAATAAGTTTAGCAGTTTCTGCCCTACCACCTCCCCCCTCGCTCCCCCTGCTTCTCTTGCATCGGATTTTCACGTTTTCTCATTGTCGGTTGAGTTATAAAAGGCTTTTGCCCTTCGAAAGTTTTAAAAAATAAATAAATATTAACTCCTTGGTCCCTGCAAAGTCAAAATGGACTTCAGGGGAAAGGCGGTACATACTTTTACCTTTAGCGAGAAAAGGGGGAGCATCCCGGATTTTTAGGGATTTTTTGCGATTTTTTAAAAATTTTTATTTGGTTATATGCCTGAGTTCTCCCTCCATTTTGGTTGTTTATGATACTGACAACAAGCTGTCCCTGCTCTGTGCCGATCTCCTGCTTTCATTTAGCACCCCCTCCCCCTACCCCCCCTCGCAGCCACACACCCCAGGCTCACACCTCCCCGCAGACCCCGCACCCCGACTCCGGCTTGCCCACCTGAGGAAAGGGCAAAAACAAATTCATTTCTCCAGAAAAGAAAAACCTCTTTTGAAAAAGGGGCAAAGTTACCCCAAGTCACTCAAAGTGCCCCCCAAATATTGCCGACTGCGGGTTTCCGCCAGGCCCTTTGGGAAGGGACCTTCCCCCGGGATGTTTTGGTGGAAAATGCGGAGAGTTTACTCTCAAAACTGAATTTATATTAATTTTTCCCTTATTTTTCGGGTCTCTAATGTCTTCCGCTCTCGCTGCTGCCGCTGCCGCTGTCACAATATTCACAGCACCAGAGAGGAGGAGGAGGAGGAGGAGGAAAACTTTTCAAACTTTCCAGACCCTGAATAAAGGGGTTTTTTTTTTTCCCACCGACCTCACCTTCGGGTCCCCAGCCGCATCGCCCCCTGCCCTGTCAGAAGCGACTTCGGGAGTCCTCGCAGCCCCGCGTAATTATTTTATTTTATTTTTTATTATTATTTTTCTCTCTGGGGTCCTGAGCAGGGGCTGAGAGTAGCACAAACTTTTCCTCCTCCTGCCGCCGCCGCTGCTCCTCTGCCCCCTCGGCTAGTCCCATAATTTAAATAACCCTGATATTTCTCCCGCTAAACGCCTCGCCGCCGCCCCGGACCCCCGGAGAACTCACCGCGGGGCTTTAACATCCTCCCTCCGGCCCGTCCGCCGCCTCTACACCGCCCGCGGAATTTCTAATAATTTTTTTCTCATATTTCGGGCTGGACGCGGCGGGCCTGGAAATTGTTTCCTTACGCCTCTTTCCAGCAGCCATTGTAGTGTATGCGCTGCCCCTGCAGCCCAACTTGCAGCTGCCGCCGCCGCCGCCGCCGCCGCCGCCGACGTCGCGCCCACCGCCGCCTCCCCCGGCCTGTTAGGCCACCGCCCCCGCCTCCCGTCGGCCCGCCCCCGATCCCCGCCCGCCACTGTCCCCGCCCCTCGCGCGCGCTCCGCCCCCGAGGCCGGCCACTCGGCGCCGTCGCTGCCGGGAGCCGTCTCGCCTATTGGGCTGCGGCACCGCCCGTCAAGCGGAGTTGTTAAGGGACCGGCCGCGGCTGGGGGCGCGGCGGGGCGGGGGAAAGAGGGCGGGGTCGCGCGCGCCGCCCCGCCCACTCCTCCCGCCTGGGCCCTCCTTTCGCCAGCCGGGGGCGGGGCGAGGCCCGCCCGCCCCTGCGGCACAGGGCCCGGCGCGGCTGTCAGTCTGGCGGCGGCGCGCGCCAATTGGGCGGTTGGTCGCCGGGGAGCGGGGGCAGCAAGTTCGGATGCGCTCTACTTAAGGTCCTGCTGCGTGAGCCATTGACGTGTTTGGAGTTGGAGACGGCCTGGGTGCTGGCGAAGCGGAGGCCCGAGGTGAGTGGTCCCCCGCCCTACCTCCGCGGCGGCCTCAGTAAAGCGGAAAGAGAGGGGTGCCCCTGGGTCGTCGCGGGGCCCAAATCCACTTCTGCGGCGCGGAGGCGCTCCTCCAGGCCCCGCCGCAGGGCGAACCTCCTCCCGTTGCTCTTCCTTCCGCAGCACTGGTCAGTTCGCTCCGGGGGGCGAGGAAGGTGACCCCTGCCTAGTCCGGGCAACCCCAGCTCCTCCTCCGCTGTCCTCCGCAGCCTTTGTAGCGCAGTTGCCGGCCCCACCCCCGGTTCCCTGCGTTTTCCTCGCCCCCTGCCCCTCTGGGCACTGTCGCAGGGCACAGCAAGGTGTGTTCACCTGTGCGCGCCGGTCAGGCTCAGACGCTGACGGGCTGCACCACGGAAGGCGCCGAGGCTTCGGGTTCGCCCCTCGTTTCTCCTCGCCCTGCCTGCCCACCTCTGGCAGGCCACCCTTGACTTCTTGCCCTTGCCCCTCTGCACCTGGCAGTGGGTTACCGGCACGGCGTGTGCAGCTTCCGGGTTTCGCAGAGCCACGGCCCCTTCCCGGGCTCCAACCACGGGGCGTGTGGGCATGAACGTGTTCAGAAATGTTCCCTTCCCCCCGTCCTTTCAAAGCTACTTGGAGAGGGGGGACGTGAACCACTGGATGGGAAATCAAGAACTGCTTTATTAAGCGGTTTGCCCTTTGGAGTGGATTTTAGAATTATTCCCCGAATGTGCTGTGGTTTTGTGGCCCCTCCTTCAAATCTTTGCTTGGTTTTTCTTTCTGGCTATCCTCTGCAAGCAGTAGAGCCTTGTAACATTTGTTTAGTACATTCAAAAAGTAATAGATAAGGCCTCTTTAGCGGAGCACTCGATCTTGCACTTCAGCCCCGCTCCTCACTGTAAATTGACATTTCCTCTTCAATTCCAGTTAATACGTGAGGAACTCAAGCCAAGGAGGGGACTTTCGGAAATCCAAACTTAGAGTGTCTTGTGTTTAGAATCCGGAAGGAAAAGGAAATGAAATGAAACTCATGCAGCAAAGTTGAACTGGGTATATGTGATGTTACCTAGGTATTATTTTTTAAAAATTTCTGACTGATGACAATAAAATACAGAGTAGGATACTTTCATGTAAGGCACGAAACTTTAATGAAAGGTTGTCTGTCTGATCCTTGTTGAGATTATAGCATCTAAGGTGTATGAACAGCTAAGAAGAGTTCTGTGTTCTCACATCATAGGATAGATGTAAAAAAAGAAAGCTATGAATTTACTTAGTACCATCATCTCTCTTAGGAAGAAGTCAAGCCTAAAAAAAAAAACTTGTCTTCAGGAGAGAAAGAGGCTTGTAGATATAATTGAACAGCATCTTGGTTTCTTTTTTGCCAAGCTGTTTCTGTTGACTGGATATTTTCTTGTATTGCTCAGTGAAAATTGTAAAATTATTATTCAGTGATTACTTAAAGGACCCCAAAATAACCAAACCCTTTCCCATTCTTTTTTTGTAAAGGCTGGTCTCCTTTGGCGTCACATCCTGATGTCCATTGTAGAACTGGGCTGGGTTACTCTTGATTGAGTCTACTTCCACTTTTCAGGAGTATATGGGGTTTGTTTTTCCTGAATATGCTTCAATTCTTTTTACATGACTGAAATCACTTTGAAATGATTATGACTATTGGTTCTTGAATTTTCTTCTTTCTATAACATTTCTTCGAAGATAATAGGAATACCAATTTCAATTGAATTCCATTATAGAAAGCAACTATATCCTGGGATATAGTTGACATACCTGTTACATGAGTATATGACTTGACTTGGAATAATGAATTGGCTCTGAGGGAATGGTATCATCTTTTTTTTTTTTTTTTTTTTTTTTTTTTTTTTGTGAGACGGAGTTTCGTTCTTGTTACCCAGGCTGGAGTGCAATGGCACGATCTCAGCTCACCGCAACCTCTGCCTCCTGGGTTCAGGCAATTCTCCTGCCTCAGCCTCCTGAGTAGCTGGGATTACAGGCACGCGCCACCATGCCCAGCTAATTTTTGTATTTTTAGTAGAGACGGGGTTTCACCATGTTGCCCAGGATGGTCTCGATCTCTCGACCTCGTGATCCACCCGCCTCGGCCTCCCAAAGTGCTGGGATTACAGGCTTGAGCCACCGCGCCCGGCCGGACATTCATCTTTAATCAGTAAAGACTTTTGCAAAGCTGTGTCTCTAGGAATTGAATTGGAAGATCACTGATGTCCTGCAACCCAGGGAAATAGTCACTTAAAAAGATGCCACTGGAAGTAAAATTTCAACTTGTTTGTTTTTAAAACACTATTGCTTTTCAATTGTCAGCTAAGGGATAACTTGACTTTTTGGTGTGTTGGCTACCCTAGTATTGGCCATGAAATAGGCACTCTGGTACTTTAGTTGATGAATGCTTTTTAAAGTTGAACGGTACTGCACTCCATTCTTATTTTGTACGCTAATTGGTATGTAATAAGGAAGTAATTGTTGGAATGCATACTGTATTCTTCAGTTTTATTATACATTTAGTTGCTTAAACTTAAGAGTAAGAGTAAGCCACAACTGAATTATAATAGAATTAACTTTCTTTTTTTGTTGTTTTGGACAGGTCACCCAGGCTGGAGTGCACTGGTGCAATCACAGCTCACTGCAGCCTTGACTTCCCATGCTATAGTGATCCTTCCACCTTAGCCTTCCCAGTAGCTGGGACCACAGGCACATGGCACGACTCCCAACTAATTTTTGTATTTTTGGTGGAGATGGGGTTTTGCTGTGTTGCCCAGGTTGATCTCGAACTCCTGAGCTTAAGCAGCCCTCACACCCCCACCTCGCAAAGTGCTGGGATTACAGGCACGCGACACCACGCCCGGACCATTGATACATTTCAATCCAATATATGGCCTTTGTGTTAAGTCATAGCAATACAAAGGAAAAACGTGTTCAAGTTTTTATTCACAAAATACAGGGGATACATGAAATTCCTCACTAAATGATCATTGTGCCAAAATCAAAATTTCAGGTACTTTTAGGGCTGTTGAGAGGTATTGATTTATTTTCTGTCATCTACTGTGTAATTATTTTTTTCTGTCTATCCTCAGTGAGAAGACTATTAGGATACCCTTGGAAATGCTGAGACTGAGAGATCCTGACATAAATCCTTGCATGTTGGTAGGATGGTTTGCTTTAATTTTCATGAGGGTTAAGTTGGAAAAACAGGCGGCTTCTAGTTTTGTGGGCATTTGTTTTCTGCAGTTGTTGAATAAAGTTATTTTTTCTACAAAAAATATTGCTGGCTAGCATATCCTATTGTACTAGAGCATTTTTAGATGTTTATAATTTCTCTAACAAACATTCATCTTTTCTTTAGTTTTCCTTATTTGTATAATTTACAAGCATTTGGTTGTCACTGTAAAACCAGACAGGAATATGTACCACTGAGAATATTTAGTCCAAACATGGAAAACTGGAAGGTATGATATTTTTAAACTGTCACTGACATTTATTGTTTCACTAGTAATAATATCATCATGTCCTTGACAATCTGGCTGAGGGTAATGCGCTGATAATAGAATTAGCCTATTTAAAGCCTAAAGGTTTTCACAAAGGTATCTCATAAAATGTTTTAAGGGTAAGCTTTTATTGGCATTTATTTGGTATGATTTGCAATACTTGTGGATTCACTACCTTTGAATAATGTAGTTATCATACTGGTACAATGAAAATTATACTCTTTTGTTACATACATTTTCCAAATATATACATTCATTAAATATTTGGCATAGCAATTTAGTTTTGTTCTGTTTAGGTAGAACATGTTTCTTAGATCTGTGATGCAATTTATTTACCCATATAGTTAAAGCTTTCCTTTAGATCTGTGGTCCCCAACCTTTTTGGCACCAAGGACCGGTTTTGTGGAAGACAATTTTTCCACAGATGGGGAAGGGGGCGGGTGTCAACAGGCATTAGATTCTCATAAGGGGCTTGCAACCTAGGTCAACTCACACGCATGCAGTTCACAACAGGGTTCACCCTCCTTTGAGAATCTAATGCTGCCATGATGTGACAGGAAGGGGAGCTCAGGCAGTAAGGCTCACTTGCCCACTGCTCATCTCCTGCTATCTGGGCAGGTTCCTAACAGGCCACAGGCCAGTACCCCTTTGTGGCCTGGGGGTTGGGGACCCGTGCTTTACATGACTTCACAGAATCATGCCTTTCACTTTTAAGTTTGTTATCCAATGTACTTCCAGTTCACACAGCTTAAATTTAATCCCCATGTGGCATCTACTTTCCTTTGAACTTATAGCCCTGTGTTGTTGACTTTAGTTTTGAAGTGATATCTATTAAAATTGCTTATGTAATAGCGTCTTTGTGTAATGGAGTAAATGGTAGCCAAAAATACATTTGAGATGAATGGTGTTAATTTAGGTTGTCTTGATGTCGACCAGTTATTAGTGATTTCCTTGGAATCTTGAAACCAACGTTATGATCAAACTTTCAAGCCGAAGTGAAAATCTGGAAAAGCAGGAGAGATGCACCGTGAGTCAGGAGACGGGTTCTGATTCTAGCTGTGCAGTAGTGATTTAACGCATTGCACCTTGCCTCGGTTTCTTACTAAAATGGTTACTGGATTAATTGATCACAGTTATTTGGCTCAAATTCCTGTGACCATGCATTCAGAAAACTGGCGCAGATTTAAAAAAGGAAAGTGTTAGCCTGAGCACAGTGCATACTGGGATTGTCCAGTTTTTATTAGGGTCTACCCATAAAAATAAACACAAACGAACTATCCCACGTTATTTGCTTCTGGGGAAGCAGCTTTTTTTGTTTGTTTGCATTTAGATCCCATTCTACCTTTTAAATGATGCCTCTCTTACGTCTGTAAGGAATCGGATGCTTCTATCAGATGTCTGGATGCGAATAACTATGACAAGGAAAAGTGTTCTACTTACTTCCTGAAGTACCGAAACTGCCGGAAATTCTGGGTGAGCCTAGATTGGTTAGTTTTGTGTGAAAACCCATCTCCTGGGCTTGAAACTGAAGCCGAAAATTAGTCAGTATCCACAATGCTTTCTCACTGATGGCTGCAGGGAAACCTAACTTCAGCGTTATCCTCTGTGTGCTGCTTTAGCCCAAAAAGATCCTTGAGACCTCTTGTTAGCTGCCTCCTCATCCACTAAGCTGTAAGAATGCAGTTTTAATATAGGTGGGTCTTCCTAGGCTTTTAAGTGTCTGTAGCCCTAAAACAATGTCTTTATTATAAATTTAGTGTTCTTGGAGATGAACAGAATGTTGAACTTCCCTCATCATAACACATCATGTTAGGCTTCCATTTCTGCCTTTTTCTCTCTCAGTGCCACCCATGGTAGTTAAAATGGTCCATTTTTCTGAAGACATTGGTGTATAATTTCTGTTTCCTTGAACCACTGGATCCAGCTATTTCCTTTACCTTTGCTAAATGACTGTTGGTTTTATTTCACAGTTATTCAGTAGCTCCTCTCGATGGACTGTATATGCTTCTGTGTTTTGTACTTTGTATATTCCCATCCCAATTGCTGTTAATGCATTCCTATGGGAATGACTACTTCTATTTAATTGTTAATATTTTTAAAACGTTTATCTGGAGTCCTAGTATTAGGTTTTGGATTTTTTTTAAACTTGGTTTTTAGAATTACCTCTTTGAGGAAGCAATAGCAAATTACTGGCAAACGATTAGCATTTAATACATGACTGATTTTGGTTTCTTCTTTTTTATTTTAATGCCTATACACAGCATTCTATCATGATCCAGAGAAGACAGAACGGAGTGAAGCCATGTATGCCTACCGCAGCAGAGAGAGATGAAATCTTGGGAGAAATGGGAAAGATGCCTTATTGAATGTTTGCATTAAAATTGTTTATAGAACTTAGAAGCAGATGAGTACTTTTAATAAATGGTTGCTATAATAGTTAAGTCTGTGTAGCCCTCACCCATACAAACCTTACGTTCTTCAAGTGGAGACAGCGAAGTGGCCCTGTGTCCTTTGTGCTGGCTCTCAGTGCCGTGCCAACCCTATGTTGCTGCTAGCTGTGCTGTGGCATGAGTTTGCATGACTTTCTAGAGGTATGGAGTTAGGTAAGGCTACATGAGAAAATGAGCTTTTCCACTGGGTTTTGAAAGAAGAATCTGATGTAAACAAGTAAAGACTGAATGGGGCCGAGATGCAGGCAGTGTTTCCAAGGAAAGGAAATGTTACAAGCAAGAGTGTGAGGCAAGGGAAGCCGGAACCACATTCAGAGTTACCTGTGGACTGCTCCACCTAGAATCTCAGGTGGGTAGAGCAGTGGTGGGGGAAGACTGGAAAGGTAAGTTGAGGGTCAGGGATGTGTGGCAGGCCTTAGATCCCAGGCTCATTCCTCAAATCAGTTCTTACTTCCCTCACTTATCTTTGTTTAAATAAGGTTAGTATATTCACTAGGGGCAAATGGTTTTTTTTCCTAAATAAATGGCATAAAAAAGAACTGGTTTTCTTTCTTTGAAGAAAGCCTTAGTTACAGGATTCTGTGATTTAAATCCTTAAATATTGGATAGCTTTCTACAGCTGTAATATCAGTTCTTGAACCACAGTAACGGGAAGAAAGACAGATGGATTCCCTTGGAAGTAGGATTTCTATTTGCAGGATGAGTTGGGCAGGGAAAGGAGTCAGGGTTCAGCAGGTGAACTCAACACGGATGAGACTAGAACTTCACTTTATGATATAAACAGAATACGATTATTCAGCATGGTGACTGGGGTGGATTTTGAAGCAGCCCTCCTTATGCCCACTGCCTTTTAAAATCCAGTTTCTTGGCTGGGGTGGTGGCTCACACCTGTAATCCCAGCACTTTGGGAGGCCAAGGCAGGTGGATCACAAGGTCAAGAGATCGAGACCGTCCTGGCCAACATGGTGAAACCTTGTCTCTACTAAAAATACAAAAACTAACTGGGCATGGTGGTACATGCCTGTAATCCCAGCTACTCAGGAGGCTGAGGCAGGAGAATTGCTTGAATCTGGGAGGTGGAGGTTGCAGCGAGCCGAGATCGTGCCACTGCACCCTAGCTTGGGCGACAGAGTAAGATTGTGTCTCAAAAAAAAAAAAAAAAAAAAAAAAAATCCAGTTTGTTTCATTCACAGAGTAGTTTTATGAAAACATACTATTATTGAATAAAATTTAATGTGTACTTGAAAACGGATTGCTTGTGTCCCTTCTCTTTATCTATCTGGTCTTGGGTCAAGAACATTGTTTTAATGGCTGCTGGCAATGAACTATCTGAGTCTAAAACTAAGCTCGTTTCTGTGCCACGTGACCTTGATTGTTAAATGTTAAATGTGGTTCTATTTGAATAAAAAATGGATCGTTTCCAAAATTCTTTTGTATTGACTACTGTAAATATGATGGATTAAAATAGGACCTGAAAAGAATGAATACATACCTGCGTGAGAAGCATGTTAGTACTTTTAAGCACAACTTGTTAAAAGAGCTTGGAATTTTAATGCCACCTCTTCGTACATACAAATATCAGCATTCATCCTGTAACTAGTTGTCCTGACACAGCTCTTGTTGAATCTTTATTTTCGGTACCTTTTGTCTTATTGCTGAGCACTTCAGGTAAAGAAATGGACAGCCTTCCCACCAGGCCCTCCTACCTGCTGGGCCTCTGGGTTGAGGTTGAGGTAGGTTCAAGAATTGCAGCTGGCTCACCTGTGGCTCTGTAGGAAGCTATAGTTTTGGAGATGCAGGAAGAAACTTTTTTTTGAGCTGAGTCTCACTCTTGCCCAGGCTGTAGTACAGTGGTGTGATCTTGGCTCACAGCAACCTCTGCCTCCCAGGTTGAAGCGATTCTCATGCCTCAGCCTCCCAAGTAGCTGGGATTACAGGAGCCCGCCACCACACCCGGGTAATTTTAATTTTTTCAATACAGATGGGGTTTCACCATGTTGCCAGGCTGGCTCAAACTCCTGGCCTCAAGTGATCCACCTGCCTTGGCCTCCTAAGGTGCTGGGATTACAGGCATGAGCCACTGCACCTGGTCCAGGGAAGAAACATTTAACGCTCAGGACCAAGGGGTAGCTCAGTCCAAGGCTGGATATGGGGGCAGGACTAGCCTGCAGGGTTCAAGTGACCACCAGAGCCTCCCTCCTAGTACCGTGGCACATGGAGTCTATACAACAGGCCTCTTACCTGACTCCCTGGAAGACTTTAAAAAGATAACAGCCTTATTGAGATATAAGTCGTATAGAAACTAAAGTATTCAATTCAGTGTTCTTGTGTATTCAAGAAGTTGTGCAGCCATCACCACAAAACAAACGGAAACCCTGTACCCCTTAGCACTCACTCCCCATTTTATTTTGTTTTTTTTTTATTTTTATTTTTGAGACAGAGTCTTGCTCTATCGCCTAGGCTTTAGTGCAGTGGTGCAATCTCGACTTACTGCAACCTCTGTCTGCCAGGTTCAATCTTGCATGTTCTTCACATGTACCCCAAAACCTAAAATGCAATAAAAAAATTATTAAAAAAAAAAAAAAGAGATTCTCCTGTCTCAGACTCCCGAGTATCTAGGATTACAGGCATGAGCCACCACACCCAGCTAATTTTTGTATTTTCTATAGGCACAGGGTTTCATCACTTTGACCAGACTGTTTTGAACTCCTGATCTCAGGTGATCTGCCCACCTCAGCCTCCCAAAGGGTTGGGATGACAGGCATGAACCACTGTGCCTGGCTCATTTTATTCTTTAGAGACGAGGTCTCACTCTGTTTCCCAGGCTGCAGTGCAGTGGCATCATTGTAGCCCACTACAGCCTTGATCTCCTGGCCTCATGCCATCCTCCTGGCTCAGCCTCTGGAGTAGCTGGAGTTGTGTCTGCATAACTGGCTCCCATTTTCTCCTAGTGCCAACCTCCAACACAGGCAACTGGTAATCTACTTTCTGTTTATCTTATTGCCTGTTATGGACATTTATATAAATGGAATAATATAATATATGGTCTTTTGTGACTGGCCTGTTTGACAACCTAATGTTTTCAAGGTTCATGTATGTTGCATGTGTCAGTACTTTAGCATTGATTATATATGGATATACCACATTTTATCCATTAATCACTGATGGGCATTTGAATTTCCACTTGCCTATTATAAGTCATCCTGTTTTTTGAGCATTTGGTACAAGTTGTGTGTGTGTGTGTGTGTGTGTGTGTGTGTGTGTGTGTGTGTTTTGTTTTGTTTTGTTTTGAGACGGAGTCTCGCTCTGTTGCCAGGCTGGAGTGCAGTGGCATGATCTTGGCTTACTGCAACCTCCGCCTCCCGGGTTCAACTGATTCTCCTGCCTCAGCCTCCTGAGTAGCTGGACTACAGGCACGTGCCACCACACCCAGCTAATTTTTGTATTTTTAGTAGAGACAGGGTTTCACCATGTTGGCCAGGATGATCTTGATCTTTTGACCTTGTGATTTGCCTGCCTCAGCCTCCCAAAGTTCTGAGATTACAGTCATGAGCCACCGTGCCTGACCATTTTGCACAAGTTTTTATGTGGACACCAATTTCTCCTTAAATACATACCTAGGAGTTGAATTGCTGGGTCAGGTGGTAACTGTTTAAACTTTTGAGGCACCAACAGTTTTTCAAGGTGGCTGCACTGTTTGCCAATCCCATCAGCAGCGTATGTATGAGAGTTCCAAATTTCTCAATACTCATTAACACTTGCTATCTGCTTTGGATTACAGCCATCCTAGTGGGTGTGAACTGTTATCTCCTTATCGCTTTGATTTGCATTTCCCTGATGGCTAATGATGTTGACCAAATTTTAATGTGTACATTGGCACTTTGTATCTTCTTTGGAGAAATGTTTATTTGGCTCCCTTTCCCATTTTTAAATTGGGTTGTTTTAATTATTGAGGTTTTTATTTTTTTTTATTTTTTTATTTTTTGAGACGGAGTTTTGCTCTTGTTACCCAGGCTGGACTGCAATGGCACGATCCCGGCTCACCGCAACCTCCACTTCCTGGGTTCAGTCAATTCTCCTGCCTCAGCCTCCTGAGTAGCTGGGATTACAGGCACGCGCCACCATGCCCAGCTAATATTTTTGTATTTTTAGTAGAGATGGGGTTTCACCATGTTGACCAGGATGGTCTCGATCTCTTGACCTCGTTATCCACCCGCCTCGGCCTCCCAAAGTGCTGGGATTACAGGCTTGAGCCACCGCACCCGGCCGACTTGAGTTTTTAAAGCTCTATATATATACCAGATAAAAGTTCCTTATCAGATAAATGGTTTGCAAAATTTTCCTCCCATTCTGTGGGTTGTATTTTCACTTTATGGTATACTTTGAAGTACGAAAGTCTTCAATTTTGATGAAATCCAATTTATTTATTTTTTTCGTTGCTTTTGGTGTCACATCTAAGAAAGCGTTGCTTAATCCAAGATCACAAAGATTTCCACCTTTTTTTTGTAGTAAGAGTTATGGTTTTAACTCTTACATTTAGGTTTTTGTATATTTTGAGTTAATTTGTGTGTATTATGAGGTTGGAGTTAGGCTTCATTCTTTTGCATATAGCTATGCAGTGTTCCCAACACCCATTTATTGACAAAGACTATTCTTTTCCTCATTGAATTGTCTTGGCATACTTGACATGTGAGACTTTATTTCTGGCCTAAATTCTATTCCATTGATCTGTATAGGTCTAACCTTATGGCAGCACCACACTGCCCTGATTACTGTGGCTTTGTAGTAATGGCACAGCTATGATTGGTTTCTGTAAGCATGTTTTGTATGAAGTGCTTTCAGTTATGAACTAATTGTCTTGGGATTTTTGATCAGCAAATTCTTAACTTATGTGTAATGACTCTGCCCAGGCAAAACTGTTCAATTTAAAATGTGTCTTCAGTAATTCCCGGATTCCTAGTTTGCCTCTTTACACCTACCCTGAAAACTTT